ATCCAAGAGTGGGGGTTATGGTTAAAAGGAGCAGACTTTACATGTCTGTAGTTATAATTGATGTTTTTCTCTTGTCTTAGAAAAAGAGTATTGATTTTTAAAACAAAAATATTCCAAGCACAATTAAAAGCTTACCAAATCTTTTTCGTTACATTGTTGGTTTTGAAAGAATTTAAAATGGAATATGGATCACCATGTTTGAATTGGTCATGAGACACTTGAGCAGAAATGTGTTGAAAGATGGACTAATTATTTTCTCTTCAACTTGCCAGATGTGTGATTGTCACAATCACTCTCATGTAGACAATTGGTTCATTTCGAATCTAATAGCTTGATCACTTGCAAATAAACTTCCGTTCCCTTGAATTGATTACTTCAGATCAACCAAAAAGCTTATTAATCCAACAATGTTTTTTCTCTTTAACTTTCGATGTGAAAGTCACTCGACCTATGGGAGAGGTACGAAGTCACTCGACCTATGGGAGAGGAATTGGTCAGGTCGTATTGATGACCAAGAAAACTCTGGAGAAGAAGCAAGCGAGAAAACGGAGAGCGCACTAGCGCGCGTAGGCTTTCGAGCCTACGCTTGCTTAAACGACCTTACCTTTTTTCCAGGCCTGTGGTTCCCGCGGAAGATCAAGTTGGTGAGCCGTGTGATGGGACTCTTTTTATTTTCAAATGTTTATTAATGAGTTCTTTTACCTACTCCATCCGTTCTCAAAAACGCTTCCTCTTTCATTTTTTTCACTTCTAACAAAACACTTCTACTTTCTATTAAAAAATCACTTTACCCTTATTTTTTCATACCCTACCTATCACATCATATTTTTTTCTCTAATAATCTACCCATCACATCTTACTTTTATCCATCACATCAAGGGCAAAATTGGAAGTCAACTACAATTTAAAACTTCCTTATTTTTCCACTTTTTCAAAATAGGAACTCTTTTTTAGAACAGAGGGAGTACAATATATCTCCTCAATCCCAAAATGATTTTTTGCGTTCCACTTTCACAAAATTTAAGAAACGTATTAAAAGTGAGAGTCATCAGAAATTAATGAGAACAATGAGAAACTTTTTTAACCACATACAAAGTACTTTTATTAAATGAAAATGTCAAGATTATTTTTGAAACAGACAAAAAGAAAAAGATAGTGGAGTATTACCATTATGGGGCTTTTTTGGTATTAGGTATCCACATACAAGATCTCGAGTGGAGGTTATGGTTAAAAAGAGTCGAGTCTAGTAATTATAATTGTATGTTAAATGTATAATGCACACGTGACTCTACCAAAACTTAAAAAAGGATATACCACCATCGAGCTTCTCAGCACCGACCAGACACTTATCTTAATGATTATACAAAATCTTAAATTGTTCAGTTCATTTCAGAAATTCACTTCGTAAAATGTACCATATAAGATGTGATTAGTAGATTCATAATTAATAATTAATCGGGATAGAAGAGATATTTTAATTGAAAGTAAGATCATTTCTTGGGACGAATAAAAAGTGAAAGTGAAAAGGTTTTCTAGGATGAATGAAATATTTTTTACTCATTTGATAAAATTAAAATATTCAAGCATGTAACATCTTATTTGTAAAAGTTTTGGTGTAGTTTTAAATATTTATAGTTAATTTTTAAATTTGTATACGAATTGAATTTAAAGTTAGCTTTAATTAATTTGAAATGATAATAACATCAATTAAGCATTGTAAACGATATTTTTTTTTTTGGAATCATCAACTATATATCACACCATTAACATTTACTCCACTATTTCCTGATATCTTTCGGTTTCATTTATCATGCCAATTTTTTTATCAAAAATGTTTTTATAAAAATATTAGCATTAACAATAAAAAGACATCAATAACATTTTTATTTAAATATACCTATTAAAGGCTATTACAATACAGTAGTCCGTTTTTTTTGAACAAAACAACTATTATAATAAAAATATTTCTATATTTTAATAATTGCATTATTTTCTATAGTGCTGAATAAAGTTATAAAGTGCAAAAATAATAAAGATGCAAATAATACAATTAAAATGGGATATAAAGAGTAGGAACAGGTATACTTAATTGCTAGATAGTACTCCCTAAGTGGAAAACTATTGGGTTGGTTTGCTCAAAGTGAGCTAAGTTCAGATTCTAAATTGATGTATCTTGGGAAACATGCCATAAAGTGACAAAAATAATATTTCCCAGCTTTTGTAAAATAAGACAGTGACGTTATTATGACGCAATAATAATACCAATAATAATAATACCACCCCAGGGGATAGGATACCAATCTCTCCTCAATTATCATATCCACAAAAGCACTTCCGTTGGGATTGAATGCCTGGAGAGAGCCTCGGCAGACCTTTGAATAATCCATCTCAATTTTACCACTTTTAAAATTATTTTGTTTATATATTGGTGTATAAATAAATAAATAAAAATACATATTTCAAAATTACATGAAAATGAAAACAAATGATTCTTGCCACCTTTTGTTTTTAACAAAGTAGATTTTTTTATATATTGGAGTAAAATATTTTCTCAGTTACTAATTCACAGTGTCAAACCTTAGAGCATAAGCAGTGACAAGTCTAGAATGGAATGCCACGGGATGATGTGGCAACTAGCAACCAATCAAAATTAACCGTGGAGTTCCATGGCTTACAATGACAAGGCATAGGCGTGGTTGTGATATGGGCGGAGGCGAGGCGTTTTTTCCACTCGCCACTGCCAATGCTCTTAATAACTTTTTCAACCTATTTTCGTTAGTTATTTGATAAAATAATATTGTATTGTCACCTCATGTTTTGTAGAACTTTTGATGTAGTTTTTAAATACATAAATTTTATTTAAAAATTTTACACCTTTAATTAAATAAACTGAAAATAATGTTGGTCAATTTAAACCTCGTAAATAGAAACGGGAAGAACATTTTAGGACAGTGGGAGTAATTCTTAAATATATAATTTATATTTTTTTATTTCTATCCCAATTTATAAATAAAAAATAATTTTGCACGTTGTTTGAATAGTGTAAATCATTTTGGGACTGAGTAAAAATGAATGAAATTAGCCAAAGGTTACTGGAAAATCCAACTTCTTAACACGCTCCTAATTCTTTTCATTAATCAGATTTATGGCTAGATTTATGGTTTACTCATATCTTAAAGAGTAAATTTTCAAAAAGGTCATTTCTAATGGGGTATTTTTTTCAAATTAGTTCTCAATAAACAATAATTACTAAAGTTGTCCTTCATAATTGAGATGCATTTCCAAAATAGACCTCTACCAAAAATGTCTATTAAATCACAATCAAATAGAATGTATTTTAATATTTTCTATGATCTATACTTAAAATATACTCTCGAAATGAATTTATTATAATTAAGTATTTTCCAAACTGATAATTTCTAAGTGATTTTTTTCTCTCAAAATCGAGTCCTTGAGCCTAATTGAGGTGAGTCTGTTCTTTAGATGATGGAAAATACAAAAAATCTTTCTATTTAAGTTTCATTTAATACACATTTTTGACAAAAGACTATTTAGAGAATACGTCTGAATTACAAAGTACAATGTTGGTAATTATTTTTTTTTGAAAACTAATTTGAAAAAACATCTTATTAAAAAAGAACGTTTTAGAAATTTACTCTATCTGAAGTTTATTTGAAACAATTAAACTTTTAATGCCTTTCTAATTTAGATTTATTTTATTCTAGATCTTGAGTTAGACAAAACTATTTGCCTTCATTTTAACTATACATTTTGGTTTCTCGCGTTGTCCTTGGAATAACTATACACTCCCAATGTGTTCAATAAAGAAAAGAAAAAAAAACTATATACTCCCTATCCGTAGAAATTGCTGAATTAAAAGTTATACGGAGTATATACTTCGGGCATAAAAGTTATACAAAAATTTTGGTATTGAAAAATGATTTTGAAGGATTTTTTTATTTATAAATCTTACTAATACAACTTGAGAAAACATTTTAAGTCAAAATGTTACGTTCTACACGAAAAAAATGAAACCACAGTACAAGAAACGGAGGGTTTAATACTTGATTGGAAATTTTTAATTCATAACTTTTTTAATTTGATGTTTTTTTAACAATAATTTTATTAATTAAAATTCGAATACACAGTCAAGTGAGTGGGAACACACTTGTAATAGAAAGAATAATCTAGGCACAAGCCAAAATAAAATGATATATGAAGAGCTACTCGAAAAAGAAAGAACATATACTCAAGCACAACTACATGAACCGAGAACTAAAAAGATGAACCTTATTTTTGGATTTACGCAAACTCATTTTCGTTAGTTAGCTAAAAAGAGATAATTTAATTAAGACAAGTAATTAATCAATACTTTAAGCCAACTAATTAATTGACCTCCTCCCTCAGATGATTGTACGGTCAAATTTAAGGGCAGTTCATCCCTCTTGTAATGAATTTAAGTACATAAAGCACAAGTATTCTTGCTAGGCCGGAATAAAATTAGTGAAGTACGTATGCATTAATTATTGGCAGACAATGCATTAAATGATGCTTTTCTGAAAAAATCTGAATCATAAAAAGGGACAAAAGGTTTCGGTTTACTACTGCTGACAACAAATCTACGGAGTATGTTTAAGAGATACTCGTATTAAGATGCGCCCCGTTCACCTGATCTGATCTGATCTAATCTAATTTTTTAAATATGC